CGGCCCAAACAGCAAACCCTAAACCCGAATTATAAACCCTATGAAACCCTATAAACCCTATCAACCCTATCAACCCTATAAACCCTATAAACCCCAAAAACCCTATAAGCCCTAAACCCTTAACCTCAAGACTTCAAGACTTTCCAGTCCGCACGGCCGAGGCTGCAGATACGGAAAGCGACCGCGGGTCGAGGAGAAAGACGCCGGAGAGCGGCCGACCCGTAAGCGGGTTTAGGGCAAGTTTAGGGTTTAGGGAGTTTAGGGTTCAGGGTTTAGGGTTTATAGATTTAGTTTTTTTGTGTAAGCGCTTGCGCGTGCACCCTCGGTAGCCGGTCGCCCCAAGCCACGGGACGCGCACGTCGGCGGTCCAAACAGCGACCCCAAAACCCAAAACCCTCAACCCTAAATCCTAAACCCTATTAAACCCGAAACCCTAAACCACAAGACTTTCCAGTCCGCACGGCCGAGGCTGCAGATACGGAAAGCGACCGCGGGTCGAGGAGAAAAGATGCCGGAGAGCGGCCGACCCGTAAGCGGGTGTAGGGTTTAGGGTTAAGGGTTTAGGGTTCAGGGTTTATAGGGTTTGGGGTTTAGTTTGTTTTGTGTAAGCGCTTGCGCGTGCTCCGTCGGTAGCCCGCAGTATTCATGGTCGGCTTGTTCCAATCCAAACGCTTCTCTATAGGACCCAAAGTAGGCCCTTATTCCGTTTCTTTAGGGTTTAGTTAGGTTCCCTGATAAGCCCCCCTTTTCATTCCTTGGTTACTCCTGGGTCTAGTTCTCGGCAAGGGGCGGAGGCGAATTTTGGATGATGGTCTTGGGTGTTGGGCAAGGGTTTGCCTAGTAGTGGTTGGCGAGCGGTTGGCTATTCGCACATGTCGACTCCCAACCCAGCCCATAGAATGCCTAGCAGAAGCATTATCCTTTTTTCCTTTCTTGGGGTTGTAGGCTCCCTCATAGGCACCTTTTTTTCTAGAAAAGAGGCAGATTATCCCTATCCTCATTCCCTTGGTTTAGAGTTCATGGGTTCCCTTATAGGCCCCTTTCTCTGCAAAGGGCGCCGGGCGCCCTTGTTGTACTCGGCAGGTATCAACAGGAGACAAAGGAGAGCACGCCGGACAACCTGAGGCGGGGTTCAGGGCTTCGTGCCTTGGACTTCCCTTGTGGTGAGCTGTAGGGCCAAATGGGGAGTAGGGTTTAGAGCTTAGGGTTTAGGGTTTAGGGGGTAAACCCTACACCCTTAAATGAGTTTCTCTTTACGCCCTAGATGCCCGAGCCCAAGCAGAACTGAGCCCACTCGCAGTCACGTGCAGGTTCTTCCTGGATGAGATCACCGAGGGTGACAAGGCAGCTACGCGGCCGGCTTGACTCAAGATACTCACTTTGCACCTGCACGGGCCTGGTGTTATGTTTGCATGGCTCAAGTTCACCATAGCCCCCTCTATGGGTCAGCTGGGAATTTTGGGACCTTTCCTTGGTGCTCGAAATAGAGTAGAGGAAGGCCATGTCATGTCCCCTGACAATCCCCGCATTAAGCATGATACAAACTACCCCAAATATACATTCGAATAAGGAAATTTCTTATGTTAGGCTCTGAACTCTTAAACGGCTGGGAGGCATGCACAGTTCTCTGGCACGTGGAGGCTCGCCGGCGCCGCGCAGTTTTCTTTGGACAGCACCTGCAACAATATGAATCCGAAGCCCTGAACTCTAAATTCAAATTCCAACCGTCACAAACCCTGCTACAGCCGACATGGTGCCAGTTCAACTCCCGCCTGTCTCCGCGTGGAGTCAGCTTCTATGAGTTGAACGAGGAGGGCAAGGCGCAAAGTCTCCCAAGCCCAAACCTAGTGACCCAGGTGCTTTTCATCGTCCTTGTAGGGTCGAGCTTACATGGGCGTCCCGTCATGGAAACGGTTTTGGGCGTAATTAGGGCCATCTCAATGTGATTGTGAGGATGCCTCGTTCCAAGAGGGTTTGGGTTTAGGGTTTAGGGTGTAGGGTGTAGGGTTTAGGGTTTAGGGTTTATAGGGTTTAGGGTTTAGGGTTTAGGGTGTAGGGTTTAGGGTTAGGGTTTAGGGTTTAGCAACTTGGTGAACTCAGCCGATCGTCTTGTTGACAGTTCGCAGTGTGGACAAAACCAGCCCGAAAATCGCTTTTTCCTTCACGGTCCTTATAAACTTACAGATCCGAACATGGCTCATGGTAGCATAGATTGCCGTTGCTAGGCTGCATTCGCTCCTCAAGGCATTGAGGTGGACTGTGTTTAGGTGTTGTAGTTTTGGGAGGGTGGCCTAGACGTAAGCCTTATAAGGTCTTTAAAGGCCAGAAACCCCAACCTTCATTTCATTACAAGATGCAGATGCCGGGTTTAGGGTTTAGGGTTTAGGGTTTAGGGTGTACGTGGCAGGTATGCTTTGTCCGAGCTGCCTACGATATCAACTTCTGAGCGACAGAAGCGGTGTAGCGGGGGATGGATTTGGTATGGCAGGGGGCCTGGATTCGAGACTGCGCTATGTAGGGGATCATGGCCGGATAGCCAACTCGAAAGTAATTCACAGGATTCACAACACCCTAAACCCTAAACCCTATATCCTAAACCCTAAACCCTAAAGCCTAAACCCTAAACCCTAAAACCCTAAACCCGAAACCCTAAAGGTTGCTAGCAGGCCTCTGCCCAGGTTCCGCGCAGCAAAGATTCTCCGGTTTTTCAGGTGTCTCACTTGTACAAAGACTGCAGAGGCATAGCAAAACGCACGCGCGGCAGGTTTGTAGGGTTTAGGGTTTAGGGTTTAGGGTTTAGGGTTTAGGGTTTAGGGTTTAGGGTTTAGGGTTTAGGGTTTAGGGTTTAGGGTGGAGGGTGGAGGGTGTAGGGTGTAGGGTGTAGGGTGTATAAGGGTTTATAAGGGTTTATAAGGGTTTATAAGGGATTATAAGGGATTATAAGGGTTTAGGGTTTAGGGTTTAGGGGCAACGCCGTACTGGAGGCATTGTCCGATGCAGAATACATTCAAGCCCCTGTCCGGTGAACATTTCGGAGACATCCACGGCAAGGCTCCTGCATTCTGACCCTAAACCCTCTTACCTATGGGGGTTTACGAAAATAGGGGACCCGCAATATGGACCCCCAAATAGAGGGATTCCCTTTTCGTAGGGACCCCAGTAAGGCACGCCCGAATATCCGAAACCCCACAAACCTGAAACTCCTTCTTGCGCATAGGCGCACCTTCTCCAAAGTGAAAGAGGGTTGGCTATGCCCAAGGCTTCTCACCCACGTAGACGCTCTGTTCCTAGAGGCTTCCGCTTGCGCCACCGTTGGTAGTATGTCTAAAGGCCACAATCCAAGGCAGAAGCCCCGTTTTCCCACTGATCCCTGTTCGTTCGCCGTTACTAGGGAATCTGTTTTAGTTCCCTTTCTTCCACTTACTTGTATGCTTACATTCGGCGGGTTCACTTTTGTCTGACTTAATGCTACTAGTAGGAAGTGTTCAAGACACCAGGTGTTAATTTGCCCCATAGGCACACCGCCTTATTGGGCATACGCATACTGTGGCCTTGGGTGTAAGAGACTGGGTGGATAGACTAAACTTCGTATTTTCTTAATGTACTGGGATTCTTTGTTCAGGGCCTACTGGGAATGGATAGATCAAACTTTGTATGTTTCATAATGTTATGGGCTTCTCTGGGCGGGTGGGTATGTTCCCGCGGGCTTTGAAAAGCTTCTCTAGTGCAAGCTAGAACATGAGATGCTGGACCTAAACTAAACCCTAAACCCTATAGACCCTATAGACCCTATAGACCTTATAGACCCTATAGACCCTATAGACCCTGTAGACCCTGTAGACCCGAAACCCTGAATGACCCGAGTCCGATCCAGCATTATGTTGCCCATTGCCCATTGCCGCCGACTTTTGCTCCTCAGTTGGGCGCGGCTAAAATTGCCGCCCCTTGCAGCAGGCCAGGTGGTCGTGTAAGCTGACAGGGTTTAGGAATTTAGGAATTAGGGTTTTGGGGTTGTTTATGTTGTTTAGGGTTTAGGGTATAGGGACGCACGTCATCTTGCCACTAGTCATGGTACCTCTGGTATCCTCTGGTGCATGTTTTGATTTAGTCACTAAACCCTAAACCCTAAACCCTAAACACTAAACCCTAAACCCAAAACCCGATAAACCCATGTCGCTTGCCAGATACTGGGAAGTCCGTTAAACGGAGTCGGAGTCCCGTTTCTGAGACGTGACAGATCCCGGCCATGATGCTGGGACATGTTGGGCAAGCTTGGAGGGGTTTAGGGTTTAGGGTTCAGGGTTTAGGGTTTAGGGTTTAGGGTTTAGGGTTTAGGGTTTAGGGTTTAGGGTTTAGGGTTTAGGGCAGTTCAGGGTTTAGGGCAGTTAAGGGTTTGGGGTTTAGGGTTTTGGATCTAGGTCTCTTTGTCGTCACATGTGTGTCACGCAGGCTGTTTATGGTCTCCTTTAAACAACTACCTCGGTCTCTTCCTGAGACGGTGTCTGCTTACGGGAAGACTTAGGGCCTTGAGCTGAGGGTTTTTGGGTCTTCTAGGGTGCAGGAGTGTGTGTAGATATGTTTGTATACACATGACATAAGCAAATCTATGAAATAGGAAAATACAGATAAGATGCATATAGAATGCAACGTCGCGCTGCGCACTTACATCCTGCGAGGTACCATGGAGTAACCCTGCCTATTTCCTTTTCTGGCTGCCAAAAAGGCACAAACAAGGGTATTGCAATTGAGCGTAAACCCTAAATCCTAAACCTTTTCACCCTAAAACCCTAAACCCCAAAACCCTAAAACCCTACAACCCTACAACCCTAAAACCCTAAAACCCTAAAGCCCTAAAACCCTGAGACCCTGAAACCCTGAAACCCTGCAACCCTAAAACCCCAAAACCCTAAAACCCTAAAACCCTAAAACCCTAAAACCCTAAAACCCTAAAACCCTAAACCCTAAACACTAAATTAAGCCCCCTAATGCCCTGAGCTTAGGAATTCCGTGGCGACCGTCGCCACCGGGCTCCGGCCCCCCACCCACGTGCCAAAGCTGCTCCCCACAAGGCTTCGGAATGGCTTTTGTTTGCATGGCTGAGAGTTTAGGGTTTAGGGTTTAGGGTTTAGGGTTTAGGGCTTATGGCTTAAGGTTTAGGGTGTAGGGTTTAGGGTGGACCCTAAATGCTTAGCCGTAGTTGGGCCAGAAATATACAGATTTGTCGCCCATGCCCACGAAATGTCAGCAGAGCAAGTCATCCCAGTCTCTTTAGACTTTCTGGGCAGAGAACGTGGGCGTACTGGTGAAGCTCATGGTTGAAAAGTCGGGGCGGTTCAAGGCGCCCAAGCCACATGAAGTTGCCATGAGAAATATGGGTTTATATGTAAACACATAAACTAGCGTGTATGCGTGTGTGTATAAATATATATATATATATATATATATATATATACATATATATATATATATATGTATATCTCTACCTCCCCAACTTCCTTATAAGAATTCTTGTGAGCTAATCTGGGCAATCTGGGTGTCCAGGCAAGGTTTAGTACTCCGCCCTCCCCCCCTACCCGGCCTCCCCCCCCCCACCCCCACCTACTCCCCACTCCCCCATACCTACAACCCCGGATCAAGAGTTTCAGGTTTAAGGGAAGGGTTTTGGGGTTTTGGGTTTAGGGTGCTCGAATATGTAGCAGCACCTGGTACATGCCTCGAATCCTCGGACCACATGCACATTCCCAGTGTGATCATATAGCCCCAAACCCCTATAATTAAGGGCTTATAGGGCTCAGGGTCCTTGAGGGTTCATTTTTTCCTTGAATATCCCTAAACCCTAGACCCTAGACCCTAAACCCTAAACCCTAAACCCTAAACCCCCCTACCCCCTCAACCCCCGAAGCTGAGACACCGCAGGATGGGAGTGACGGAGCGGTCGCGGCGGGCACGCGCGGCTCTTTGGTTCTACGGCAGCTCCATCTTTCTGGCCCTGGGGCGCCCTGGTTGGTTTAGGGTTTGGGGTTTGGGGTTTGGGGTTTGGGGTTTGGGGTTTAGGGTTTAGGGTTTAGGGTTTCTGGCCCTGGGGCGCCCTGGTTGGTTTAGGGTTTGGGGTTTGGGGTTTAGGGTTTAGGGTTTAGGGTTTAGGGTTTCTGGCCCTGGGGCGCCCTGGTTTCGGGTTCAAGGGCTTAGGGGTTTAGGGTTCAGGGGTTTAGGGTTTAGGGTTTTTGGGTTAGGGGCTTAAGAACCCCCCCACAAAAAGATATACTTCCTGATAAGGGTAATGTAGGGATTATCATTTTTTGTCCTTTTGGGGGTTCTTAGGCAAATAGTAGCTTAGGAGTTTAAGGGGCTTAGGTGTTTAGGGCTTCGGGGTTTAGGGTTTATCGGATTTTGGGGTTTAGGGTTCAGGGGTTTAGGGTTTGGCTTTAGGGCTCAGGGTTGAGGGGTTTAGGGTTATAGGGTTTAGGGTTTTAGGCTTAGGGTTCAGGGGCTTAGGGTTTAGGCTCAGGGTTCAGGGGTTATCCTTGGGAGCATTGCGGGAGTTTCAGCCTCAGTGTTTGTTTTGGCAGCTCTGGAAGGAAGTGCCCAATCGAGCTGCAAGTTCGGGGAGTTAGGTTAGCTGTGTGCTTGGGTTACACTGGTTTTTGTTTCCTCTCTCTCTCTCTCTCGCTACTCTTTTTGCTAGAGTAGCTTTACTTTGCATTTGCTTCAACAGACGTAAGCATGGCGTCAGGACGGCGTTAGGACGTGCTGTGGTATTGATGTGACCTTCCCGTCACCGAAAAAAGGGCGCGAGGCAGGAAAACCGATCGCGCTTTCTGCTAAGGCTCTCAAGCCCTTCCGGCCTAACAGGCTATAGACCTGCAAAGCCTCCCCACGCCCTCCCCAGCGCTGCAAGAAAAGCAGCCCGCACAAAGAAGTCCTTGCACACCAGTCTATGAAGTCTAAACCCGTGCATCTTGAGTATTTTGGCTAGGAGGGTATCCTATTATCCGAAACCCCCATTTGCCCACGAAGGTGTCTTCAAATCCGCAGCATGTGCTCGAAGAAGGCAAAGGCCCCAGCCAGAAGGGCAATAAGGCCTGAAATCAAGGAGGAGCGGGCGTGGTGAAGACGGATTAGGAAGTTTAGGTTTCGGGTTCATAGGTTGGGATGTTCCCCCTTACACTACCAGTCCTTATTTGAGATTATGTATAAAAGGGGGCATTATAATCTCCATTAAGGACTGTTACTTTAAGGGGGAACATCCCAGTTTATAGGGTTTAGGAGAGTTCGATTCTAGAGGAGCCTTTTCCGGGGTTGGGCTGGCAGTGGCGGAGGTCTGCCCTGAAACGCAATACCCCCGGCTCACAACCGAAAACTATAAGCCATGAACGGGACCGCCCTTTAAGGTCCAGCAGCGAAAAGGGTTAGGGTTTTAGGGTTTCGGGTTTAGGGTTTAGGGTTTAGGGTTTAGGGTTTAAAATTTAGGGTATTTAGGGCCTGAAGCAACCCTGCCACCAGGACGAGCAGCCCCTTGTTCAGGATGCAGAATCGGAGCAAGAGGCAGATGGAGGCTCCTTCCCCACGAAAGAGCCCCTAAACGGTTTAGGGTTTAGGGTTTAGGGCGGTTTAGGGTTTAGGGTTTCGGGTTTAGGGTTTAGGGTTTAGGGTTTAGGGTTTAGGGTTTAGGGTTTAGGGTGCCCACAAAACAGAGCCCCTACTTGGAGGTCCATGGTACTGATTAACCAATTCTAACTGTAATAAGAACTGTACTTAGAACCACATTAGGGCACTTAAGGGGCTTGTAAGTAGATTATAAGTACAGGTTTAATTGGTTAATAAGTACCAAGAACCTCCACGTAAACCCTTAGAGCGCAGGGCAGAAGATAGGAGAAGCAGTAGAATTGCCAAGAGTTCGATGAAAACATGCAATGCTGTAAGCAAAATGAAGAGACACCTAAAGATGGACAAGATAATAAATGAGAAGATGTCCACAAGAAGGAGAATTAATCCGAGCTTCTGTTTAATTGGTGGGGGCCCCCCCCCCCCCCTCCACAATAAGGAATGCAGGGTTCCGCAATAGTTGGACCATGGCCCTGTATTGATTCTCTATTAAAAACAATAGGCTGCAGATCCCTGAGGTGCTGTAGCTTCGCGTCTCCGCAAGCAAAACAAGAAGCCTGCCGACAGATTTTTGAACCCCCCAAAAAAAATTCCTTTAAATGTGGGGGGTTTGTCCCATACGAAATCCACCCTAATGGAAAGTAGTCTTCCGGCGGGCTTCCGGCCAAAAAAAATTCTTTAAATGTGGGGGTATTAATTAAACTGATGCTCGGATTAACACAGAAACTAGAACCCCCCAAAAAAAAACAAACAAACAGCAAGGATTACTAGGACGACAAAGCTTTAGGGTTTGGGGTTCAGGTGGCTCTGGGTCGGAAATGCAGCTGCATCGCTTCGCAGTTGAGCGCTTTTCTGAGGGTTCATAGGGAGTTTCGGGTTTCAAGAACCCCAAACCCCGAACCCGAAACCCTAAACCCTAAACCCTAAACCCTAAACCCTTTAGGACGTTATATGAAGCTTGCAACGTCTGCCACCACTTTGTTGCTCTGCCAGGGCCGAAAACGGATGCGGAGCTGGTGCAGTACCAGCTTGCTGTTGGCTTCGTTCCCTGGAGATGGTGGCAGGTTTTTTTTGGGTCTAGGGTCGAGGGTCTAGGGTTTAGGGTTTAGGGTTTAGGGTTTAGGGTTTAGGGTTTAGGGTGCTTTTAGCATGTACTGTGGGGGTTAAGGATCAAGCAGGGTTTTGGGGGATGTTCAGAATGATGGCAGGCATGCAAGAGGAACAACCTGCAGCATGAACCCGATTTGGAGGTTGAGGCTTGCAGTTGTGCTACAATGGGCAAAGGATCCGAAGAACAAACAGGGCCTCGCACTTTCATCCCAGACTCTAAACCCCCAACCCCGTAAGGGTCGTTCTCTAAATTGGGGTCCCTTTTGGGGTCCTTTTTGTACGGTGCCGTAATATGTAGGGGCCCCCCCAAAAAAGAGAACCGAACTTAGGGAGTTACCCATGAATGCCCAGGCAGTGTACCATGTGATATACACCTTCTGCGGATTCATCCTCGTCTTTTGGGCTTGTCGGCATCAATATCTCAACGCCTACGGCCTGGACTGGGAGCTCTACACGTGTTTCGGTTCCCAATTTCTCGTAACCTTACCCAGAGGTTCCCTACCCCTTCTAGAGCGATCTAGAGAGCGCAGATTAGGGTTTAGGGTTTAGGGGTTTAGGGGTTTAGGAGTTTAGGAGTTCAGGGGTGTGAGTCAGAACTTCCAGATACCGGCGTTTCCTTGATCTTGGGCATTGGGGGGGCGGCGGTTGTCTTTGCACACAGCAGTAATCCCACCCAACACCCGAACACGTATGACCCCGAAGTCAAAAACCCAAATCCCAACATCCTAAACCCCTAAATCCCTAAACCCTAAACCCTAAGAGCAAAGCCAGGTTTTGGTTTGTGGAGAGTGTGGTCACGCACCTCATATGCGGTGCTACCCCACAGTCGTTCCTGCGCTCCATCCTGCCCATCTTGAGTGAGCGCTACGATCTCATGAAGGACCCTGCCTTACTTGTTTTTAGCCTGAAGTATGGGGAAGTATAGGTTCCATATTATATTATGTATATGCATATAATCGTACACGTATTTATATATGTGAAGTACCCACCTCCTTAGAGTTACAGCCGCAGCTCTCCCACTTTCCTTGCCGAAAATTTGGGCCCCGTGACCCATTGAGGGGGGGGGGGGGGTGCTGTATAGGATTTAGCATGTAGGGTGCAATGAGCTATGCTGTTTTCCCCCTAAACATTAAAGCCCTAAACCCTAAACCCCAAACAGGACACAGTGAGCATTGGAATCTACGCACAGCTGGGCGACCCACTCGGCTACGTTTGCGCAACCGTCGTTGTGTTCACCATGGTGGCTTGGTAGCCCAGTGGTACCGTTTTCCATTTGGTTGGTTCAAGGTTCGCTTATAAAGTAACCAACCCCAAAAAGGGCACCCCTAAACCCTAAACTCTAAACTCTAAACCCTAAACCCTTGTTGTAATATGGTCGCTGGGCTACCAAGGTGGTGCCCAATATCTTCAACTACCTGCAGCCCGTGACGGCAAGACTGACCAGGATTGCATGCAGGTAGCACTCGAGATCCATTCCTTGAGCGCCTTAGGGTTTAGGGTTTAGGGTTTAGGGTTTAGGGTTTAGGCTAACGGTTTAGGGTTTAGGGTTTAGGGTTTAGGGTTTAGGGCTACCCGTACAAGTGCCACGAAATTCAAGAACTATTCTGAAGGTTCCATTTTGCAGTACAGTACAGTAAACTCCCAAAAGTTGGAACATCATTATCCCCATACCCCAAGAGAGTTACTAAAGGGAATTCCAGCACTACTCGTTCAACTTTGTGGAGTTTACTGTAACCCTAACCCTAAACCCTAAACCCTAAACCCTAAACCCTAAACCCTAAACCCTAAACCCTAAATGTCCACAGACAAAGGCCGCTTGAAGTGGGTTGAAAGTTTGTAACAGACAGCTTTGCTGTATCAATTATCCATGCACCTCTATGAATGCCCTTCGAGACTCTGGCACAGCTGTGCTCTGTCACATTGGGCTGGACAAGGCTGGACTGTATCGCTCCTAAACTGTGCTCTTTGTCTGAGAAGGTGCCATCCAGAAGAAGTGGAAGCACGCCTAAACCCCCCCCCCCCCCTAAACCCTAAACCCTAAGCCCTAAACCTTAAACCCTAAACCCTAAACCCTAAACCCTAAACCCTAAACCCCTAAACAAACGCTACACACTAAACCCTAAATCCCAAGCGAGTGTCTCATGCCCTCAGCAGAGGATGTCTTATTGGCCCATTCCGCAGGTCGGGAGTCAGGACGGGGGGCTGAAACTTCCATGCATCCGGGAATCATATGTTTCTTAAGGCTTACATGGACATGTTTTAAAACAATGTTCACTATATGTATCGAAATATTTGTGTTTTAATTTTCCTTACTTCTTCATTAATTTACTTAATATTTATGTTCTCGTCTCCTGTGACTCCGAAGCCACCAGGCCGCCAATTCCCAGGGCGAGAACTTGCAAGCGACAGGCGGATTGATGCAGATGTGCGCTCGTCAGACTCTTGGATGCTGAGTTTAGGTGGCCTTCGCATGCCCCCCCCCCCCCCCCCCCCCCCCCTGTAGTGGCAGCTTTTTAATCGGGATTATAGTAACCCCCTCTTTTATAGTCCCTGTATTAAGGACTGTTAGTATAAGGGGGAACATCCCAATAGGTAGCCTTTACAAACTTTTTGTTTTTAATTGTAAAGCGCTTTTATATAACCAAAAGGTTAAACTGGTTTAGGGTTTAGGGTTCTTCCCCTGGATTTCTCAGCTACTGAGGATTGAAGAGGCCACACGAGGTCATCGGCGCCTGCTTTGCCTACTAGAGGACCGGCGCATTCACTTTCGAGTGTATCATGTTTCGACGCAGACCCCCTAAACCCTAAACCTTAAATCCTAAACCCTAAGCCTAAACCCTAAACAAGTCAGCCTTTGTACACTTGTTGGAGGACATTCCGCAGCTCGTCGTGGGCCTGATCTTTGCCGTATTCTCTTCGTATGCGGAAGGTGCTGGGAACTGCGTGCGCACGCGATGGCCGCTTTAGGTATTCTTTAGATATGTACGTCGGCGTAAGAGTGACTACTTGGAGGGTCGGAGGACTTAGGAAGTAGTTATCTAATAGAGTTATAAGTAGGATAATTCCAATTAGGGTCCCCTTTAGGGTACTTATAAGTCTGCTTACTATCTACTTACTAAGTCCCCCGACCCTCCAAGTAATTCCTGCACGGAAGGTGCGGCGATATCACCGTTTATTATTGTGAACATCGCGGTGACCTCCGCAAAGGCTTTTGCGGTTCTCTTTGGCAGGCCTCTGTGCCTAGCTTGGATGGCCTCGAAGCAGATGCCTTGGCCGGCACACAGCATCGCTGCCAGAGATGTGCACACCACAATGGTTCCTAGGTAGGCTTCCCTGGGACATTTTGTGATTTTCCTAATTTTCCCTTATCGGGTTTTAAGAGGATCATATTCAGGAATATCCCTAAACTCTAAACCCTAAACCCTAAACCCTAAACCCCTAACCTTTTTAGAGGGCCATCCCTAGGTTATCAGCCTGTTCGGAGAAGCATGGAAGCATCGTATCCTCGAGGAGCTCCTTGGTGAGGAGCGTGCCTCAAAAGACACGCGTTTCGCCGCAGAGGCTTGGGAGCCCACTGGTACCCTTTACCCTTTTTTTGGTTCTGGGTTCCCTTGTAAAGTAACCAGCCCAAAAAAGGGTGCCCGGTATTATAATATTAATATGGCTACTGGGCTATCTACTAAGGAGGGGGAGCTCTTCAAGATGTTCCTCACTTCTTTGCAGAATGGTCCCTCTGGTACCATCGACTGGCTGCAGCAGGATAAGTGGCGTCGCACCCACGACATCGCGGTGCTCTTCGCGTTGAGCAAGGACGTGTCTTCTAGGGAGGCTCCCGGCTTGATAACCAAATGGTCGCTGCTCCACGGGCAGGCCGCCATGTTTGGCAAAGACCTTAACTCGTACGTCGCCTTTCTACAGGGGCTCAACGACAGCATAAGCAAAGAGCGCATGAGCGCCTTCATGAGGCCCACGTGCCCGCAACCACTCTTGGGCCTGCTTTGGCTAGCGGCCTGTAACGGTGTTGAATCAAAGATGCTGCTCGAGCTTCGGAGTAAGCTTCTGATGGATGCTGCCACGGCACGCATCATTCTGACCTCTGCAGACACCGGCTTCGACAATCCCTCCACCACCGTGCGGCTCTTTCTCTGCCAGGCAATGATGGTGGTCCCATGGAGCGAGTTTCCGCAAGAAGCAGCTCAAGTGGCACGGCTTGCCATCACGGAGTCTGATCCAGTTCTTCAACCTGCAGCTTGGGGAGCTTTGGCCTTGCAGCCGAGCTTGGACATATTGAAACCGGAACTACGTAACGGTGGGCATTTCGAGTTAAAGAACGGCTTTGAGACCACTAACTACGCCGCCACAAGCCGTCTTCGTCGTGCTTGTCGTGCTGTGGAGATGTTAGACCGATGTTCGGCTGCTGCTTGCGACTGTGAGGCAAGTCTGGCGCGCATTCTAGACCTTAAAGGCACACCCGCTGATTTACGCCCGGCCTTCCAGGCTTTGTTATTTCATGGCTTCTTTTCCACGGCATTGAACAGCAGCTCCAGCAAGGCACTGTTGTCCCAGATGCGTGATCCGACGACAACAGGTAGGTACGGACAGACGGTCCTAGACTTTCCAGCGGATGTTCCCTTGCAAGCAGATTGCACCCATGATTTGAGCGTGGTTCTCCAAGACGACTCCATACCATACGTCGACAAATGGGGTGTGTGCAAGCTGCTTAGCCACGCAGGTCAGCAATGTTTTGAGGAGGCCTTGACACGGCTGTGGGCGACCGAAGCAGATAACTCGCAGACGTGCTTTGCCTACGCTTTGCGATTTGTTCCGGGTGGCGAGCCTAGCGTAGAGCATGTGGAAAAGGTGATTGGGATGCTTGACAATGTCGTCTCCGACATTCGCCGAGAAGCATTATTCGACACTCTCAAGAAGCTAGCAGGGAAGCTTCGCCCGCAGCAAGTCAAACGCTTAATGGCGATCTGCACAGGTGCCTTGAAAGATGCTTCCACTTTCAACACGATTGGTAGGGACTGTCTCCAGCTGCTTGCAGTCCTGGGTCAGTTTGTGAAGATGGAGATGCTGGAGAGCATCATGCCAACAGTCAGAGATCTGCTTTGCAAGGAAGACTTGGATCCACTGCATCGCGCCGAGATTTGCAGGTTGCTGGCAGCTTGGGGAACTATCCCTCCTGTTGTGGGCTGCATTCCAGACTTGGCAAAGCTTCTCCACAGCACGGACAAGGAGGTCCGCAGCGCCGCCTGCCTTGCCCTTGGGTCACTTGATGCTATTCCCGCGGTCATCGAGCACATTGAAAGATTGCTGGATATTGCGTGTGAAGATCCGGATCAGCAGCAAGCTGGAGGCACTGCCTGGTCAGCTCTTCTAAATCTTGATGTTATTCACAACGGCCTGGCGACTTCTCAAGTGCACCAGCGCCTGAAGGCAATGGTGTCAGCCTTGCAGAACTTTGATATAGGCCCAGATCCACACGTCAGGACCGGTCCGGGCTTCAACACCCTGCGTTGCGGCTGCCTCAGCGCACTGCTGTGTGGCGAGATTGGGCGTCTCGAGAGCCTTGCAAGGCAAACCATCCACGCCAACACCGCCCAGAGCATCTCGGGGTTTTTTGACGACTTGCGGCGCTTAAAGAAGCAGCAGATGCTCCCAACCCCGACCGATCCCCTGATGCAAGGCTTGATAGCAGTGGTCTCCAGGGAGCTGCGAGATGATGGCGAGCAGCCTCCTTCAAGGACCTAAACCCTAAACCCTAAACCCTAAACCCTAAACCCTAAACCCTAAACCCTAAACCCTAAACCCTAAACCCTACACCCTACACCCTACACCCTAAACCCTAAACCCTAAACCCTAAACCCTAAACCCTAAACCCCAAGCGAGCAGCCTCCTTCAAGGACAGCTGAGGATCCACCCGAGCTGCTCTTCGACGCCTCAGGAGCCGTAACTTACTGCTGGTTAGCAGGGAAAAAGGGAATGAGGGCCCTATATATATATATATATGTATATATATATATGTATATATATATATATATGTGGCATGGACCTTTAGGGTCAATTTGGCACGCCCCTTTGTTTACTATTTACAAAACTTCTTGAAAGTAGTAGTGGTAGTAGTAGTAGTAGTAGTAGTAGTAGTAGTAGTAGTAGTAGTAGTAGTAGTAGTAGTAGTAGTAGGAGTAGTAGGAGTAGTAGTAGTAGTAGTAGTAGTAGGAGTAGTAGTAGTAGTAGTAGTAGTAGTAGTAGTAGTAGCAGTAGTAGTAGTAGCAGTAAATGTAGATCCAGCCGGCCAACAGCCAGACTTAGGCAAGCACCCTCGCTTCGTGTTTCCTGTGACTTGGTAGGGTCCAGAGGTTTGTCGTGTGTCCCCTCCCTTCGTCCCTTCGTGTTGTAAGGGTTTTGTAAGGGCTTTGGAGGTTTGTGTGCTTCCCCTTTCTCGTTCTTATAGGTTTTGGGGGAGCATCAAAATGATTATCATATATGATGTGTTTCCGTGCTCGTATTATGAGGGCTAGTGCCTGCCCTAGAGGTTTGTCGTATGTCCCCCCGCTTCGTGTTCCTGTGATTTGGTAGGGGGCTAAAGGTTTGTCGTGTGTCCCCTCCCTTCGTCCCTTCGTGTTGTAAGGGTTTTGGGAGGGTCCTGGAGGTTTGTCGTATGTCCCCTTTGTTCGTGCTTGTAGGGTCTGGGGAGTGTGTAGATGATAATCACATATCATGTGCTTCCGTGCTCGTATTATGAGGGGCTAGTGATTGGCCTGGAGGTTTGTCAGATGACACCCCCGCTTCGTGATCCTGTGATTTGGTAGGGGCCTAAAGGTTTGTAGTGTGTCGCCTCCCTTCACTCCTTCCTATTGTAAGGGTTCTGTGAGGGCCCTGGAGGTTTGTCGTATGTCCCCTTTCTTCTTGCTTGTAGGGTTTGGGGAGCATCTAGATGATAGAGGTTTGTCGTATGTCGTCTCCCTTCGTCCCTTCGTGTTGTAAGGGTTTTGTGAGGGCCCTGAAGGTCTAGGGCAGTTACTAGCGCCTCATAGTACGAGCACGGAAGCAAATGATAATGACAATCATCTAGACGCTGCCCAAATCCTACAAGCACGAAGAAAGGGACATACGGCAAATTTGCAGGGCCCTCACAAAACCCTTACAACAAGAAGGGACGAAGGAAGGGCACATACGACAAACCTCTAGGACCCTCACGAAACCCTTACAACACGAAGGGACGAAGGGATTGTATCTAATTTCGTATATGGTAAAATGACATACGACAAATCTCCAGGACCCTAGCAAATGACATGAACACGAAGCAGGGAGACATAAAACAAACCTCTAGGGCAGTCACTAGCCCCTCATAATACGAGCACGGAAGCAAATCATATATGATAATCATCTAGACGCTCCCCACGCCCTACAAGCACGAAGAAAGGAGACATACGATAAATCTTCCAGGTCCAACAAAACCCTTGCAACTCAAAGGGACGAAGGGAGGGGGCACACGACAAACCTCTTTAGGCCCCTACCACATCGCAGGAACAGAAAGCGGCGGGACATACGACAAACCTCTATGACAAACACCAGCCCCTCATAATACGAGCACGGAAGCAAATGATATATGACAGTTTTCTAGAAGATCCCCAAACCCTCTAAGAAGAAAGAAAGGTGACATACGACAAACCTTCCCCCAACAAAGCAATTTCAACACGAAGGGACGAAAGGAGGGGACATTCGACAAGTCTCTGGCCCCTACCAAATCTCAGGAACACGAAGCGTGGGGACATACGACAAATCTCCAAGGGCCCTCAGAAAAATTTTATCAGCCTTACAACACGAAGGGACGAAGGCAGGGGACATACGACAAACCTGTAGGCCCCTACTACATCACAGGAACAAGGAAGCGGGGGGGGGGCATACGACAAACCCCTAGGGCAGTCACTAGCCCCTCACAATACGAGCACGGACTCAAGTTATATGTCAGTCGTCTAGACGCTCCCCAATCCCTACAAGTGAGAAGAAAGGGGACACACGGCAAATTTGCAGGGCTCTCACAAAAACCCTTGCAACACGAAAGGACGAAGCGAGGGAACGTATGACAAACCTCTAAGCCCCTACCAAATCACAGGACCAAGGAAACGGGGGGGACAAATGACAAACCTCTAGGACAGCCACTAGCACCTCATAGTTTGAGCACGGAAGCAAATCATATATGACGATCATCTAGACTCTAGACGCTCCCCCAAACCCTACAAGCTCGAAGAAAGTGGATATACGACTAGCCTCCAGGGCCCTCACAAAACCCATACCACCCATACAACGCGAAGGGACGAAGGAAGGGGACATACGACAAACCTCTAGGGCAGTCAGTAACCCCACATAGTACGAGCACGGAAGCAAATGATGTATGGTAATCATCTCGACGCTCCTCAAACTCTCCAAGCACGAAGAAAGGGGACACACGACAAACCTTCAAGGCCCAACAAAACCCCTACAACACGAAGGGGCGAAAGGAGGGGACATACGACAAAGCTCTAAGCCCCTACCAAATCTCAGGAACAGGAATCGGGGGGACATACGACAAACCTCTAGGGCAATCACTAGCCCCTCACAATACGAGCACGGAATCAAATTATATGTCAGTCGTCTAGACGCTCCCCAAACCCTACAAGTGAGAAGAAAGGGGACACACGGCAAATTTGCAGGGCTCTCACAAAACCCTTGCAACACGAAAGGACGAAGCGAGGGAACGTATGACAAACCTCTAAGCCCCTACCAAATCACAGGACCAAGGAAACGGGGGGGACAAATGACAAACCTCTAGGACAGCCACTAGCCCCTCATAGTTTGAGCACGGGAGCAAATCATATATGACGATCATCTAGACTCTAGACGCTCCCCCCAAACCCTACAAGCTCGAAGAAAGTGGATATACGACTAGCCTCCAGGGCCCTCACAAAACCCTTACCACCCATACAACGCGAAGGGACGAAGGAAGGGGACATACGACAAACCTCTAGGGCAGTCACTAACCCCACATAGTACGAGCACGGAAGCAAATGATGTATGGAAATCATCTCGACACTCCTCAATTCTCCAAGCTCGAAGAAAGGGGACACACGACAAACCTTCAAGGCCCAACAAGCCCTACAACACGAAGGGGCGAAAGGAGGGGACATACGACAAAGCTCTAGGCCCCTACCAAAGCTCAGGAACAGGAATCGGGGGGACATACGACAAACCTCTAGGGCGATCACTAGCCCCTCACAATACGAGCGCGGAATCGAATTATATATATATATATATATCTCAGTCGTCTAGGCTCCCCAAACCCTACAAGCACGAAGAAAGGGACACACGCAAACATTAATTAACCCTAGACCCCCCAACCCAAAACCCTCTGAGGGTTTTATTGGTGTTGAAGGATTTCTTGGGGGCCTGAACCCCCCCCCTAATTCGGAATAGGGTTTAAAAGGCGGGCTCGGTTTCGGGAGGTTTTTCCGGAAAGTATTTTTATTATTGGGGGGGTATTTAATAAAAGGGGGAAGGGATTATGATAATCATCTAGACACTCCCCAAACCCTGCAAGCACGAACAAGGGGACATACGAAAAACCTCCAGAGCGCTCACGAAACCCTTACAACACGAAGGGACGAAGGGAGGGGACAAAAGATAAACCTCTAGGCCCCTCCCAACTCACAGGAACACGAAGCAGGGGGGCATACGACAAACCTCTAGGGCAGTCAATAGCCCTCACAATACGACCACAGAAGCAAATGTCTTATGACAATCATCTAGATGCCAAGAAAGGGGACACACGACAAACCTGTAGGCCCCTACTACATCACAGGAACAAGCGGAGGGCATACGACAAACCTCTAGGGCAGTCACTAGCCCCGCACAATACGAGCCCGGAATCAAATTACATATGTCAGTCGTCTAGACGCTCCCCAAACCCTACAAGCAAGAAGAAAAGGGACATACGGCAAATTTGCCGGGCTCTCACAAAACCCTTGCAACACGAAAGGACGAAGCGAGGGAACGTATGACAAACCTCTAAGCCCCTACCAAATCACAGGACCAAGGAAACGGGGGGGACAAATGACAAACCTCTATGACAGTCACTAGCCCCTCATAGTTTGAGCACGGAAGCAAATCATATATGACGATCATCTAGACTCTAGACGCTCCCCCCCAAACCCTACAAGCTCGAAGAAAGTGGATATACGACTAGCCTCCAGGGCCCTCACAAAACCCTTACCACCCATACAACGCGAAGGGACGAAGGAAGGGGACATACGACAAACCTCTAGGGCAGTCACTAACCGCACATAGTACGAGCACGGAAGCAAATGATGTATGGTAGTCATCTCGACGCTCCTCAAACTCTCCAAGCACGAAGAAAGGGGACACACGACAAGCCTTCAAGGCCCAACAAAACCCCTACAACACGAAGGGGCGAAAGGAGGGGACATACGACAAAGCTCTAGGCCCCTACCAAATCTCAGGAACAGGAATCGGGGGGACATACGACAAACCTCTAGGGCGATCACTAGCCCCTCACAATACGAGCGCGGAATCGAATTATATATATATATATATATATCAGTCGTCTAGGCTCCCCAAACCCTACAAGCACGAAGAAAGGGGACACACGCAAACATCCCACGAAGGAACGAAGGGAGAGGAATTACGACAAACCTCTAGACCCCTACCAAATCACAGGAATACGAAGCGGGGGGGCACACGAGAAATCTTTAGGGCAATCAATACCCTCATAGCGACTGCGGAAGCAAATGATATATGATAATCATGTAGACACTCCCTCAACCCTACAAGCACGAACAAAGGGGACATATGAAAAACCTCCAGAGCGCTCACGAAACCCTTACAATACGAAGGGACGAAGGGAGGGGACAAAAGATAAACCTTTAGGCCGCTCCCAACTCACAGGAACACGAA